GGGGGGGGGCTCAACACCTTTCATGCCCATTAAAGAATTTATTTCTTTGTGGATCTTTCTGAAAAACGTTGATTAAAGGCACAATTATGTAAATTTTCAGTTACCACGGACTCTTAAGCTAAGGAAATAACTAATCTTTGGCGGCCATTTTCTCACTAATTCTACATCTGAAAACAGGTGACCCCCACCTCCTTCATTCACAAATATCTCGACTTGTAGTCAAGATAAATGGATATTGCTTTCAACCAAATAAAGATACGTGAACAAATTTTAAGATGATACCAATAACTCTACATGCCCAAAAATTGACGAGAGCCTGATTCCACCACGCCGCCTTACAATTGATTTGATTTTACTTGATGTTGCCAGGTCGACCCTGTAAATAACATCATCAGAGCCCACGACCTGACCCTCCTTCAAGCCACTCAACTTGCAACTCTGCGCATCTTCGTACTGAGACAACCAAGCTTGCAGCTGATAGGCAATTTAATTCAACCCCACTAAAAGCCGACCCCCCCCCCAACCCAAACCCCTTCTTCTCCCGGGATCGACGTCAGAAAAGAGGAAAAAGTAAACTAGGTTTTAGGTAGTTTTAGTAAGGTTTTATGGCGCTCGCAACTGCAATAAGGTCATAGGTCATATGAGCGTCAAAGGGTGGATGTCAACAGAGAAGTCCAAATGGGGAATCACGCTTACTCTGCTCACCTCTCTAGCCTCAACAGCACAAAGTCTGCTTCGACTATCAAGGCACCCTAGAAATAGCAGTTCACAAGAAAGTGACAAACATACAAAAGAAGTAGAGTACACATAACTATAGTAAGGATGGGGAAAGAAAAAGCAGCAGGTCCTCCTATGTTGTTCCGGCACAATATGAGCACGACATTGATAAATCAGCCCATTTACAACTTCACTGTGCATAAGAACATGTTGATACCCCCCCCCTTTTTTTGGGGGGAATGGCCTGAAGACAAAAGCAAAACTCAAAAAGTACAAAGTACAGTAGGTTAGTGTACCTGACAGCTGATTGGCCTGTGTGTGGCGATGTTCCGCACGTTCTGGTGTCTGACGGCGTGGTACACCGACGTGACGTCATCACTGGCTTCCTCTGGCCAGTCCACCAGGACAATGTTGGGCGATTTGTGGCTACTGGAATTGGAATTGTATAAATTTTTAATTTAGGAAAAAAGAAAAACACAAAAAAGGAAAAACCCGAAAGAAAACAAAAAAACAACAACAAAAAAAGAAAAACATTTTAACATAATTTGGTGTAAACTTAACCAAAATAGACATAAACCCAAAAAGAAAACCAGAAAAAAAACTCTTTACATGTGGTGTAAACTTACGGAAAACGATGAGCCTCACACGCTCGAAGCATCTGATGCACGTGTGGTCTGCAGGCGTCGGCCATAGCGTGAGTACACGCCCCGCCAGACTCTGGTATCACCGACACTTCCACCAGGGCCTTGTACTTCCGGCTCTCACACATCCTGTTGGTCAGTGCGATCATCTGAGGGAGGTTACGTCAACGGATCGTGGTCGGGGAAAGAAACAGAATAAAAGAGTAAGATTTAATATTATACAATACGTCATTTTGAAGGGAAATTGAGAATCATTTCCACTCTTTCTATTATAGTTATTTGAATAAACAAATAAAAAACGTGACTGAGAAAAAAAACAAAAAGTAAGAGAGAGAGAGAGAGAGAGAGAGAGAGAGAGAGAGAGAGAGAGAGAGAGAGAGAGAGAGAGAGAGAGAGAGAGAGAGAGAGAGAGCAAAAGGGTGAGATCGAAAGAAAGAGACAGATCCAGGGACAGAGACTGAGAAAGAGAGACAGGGAGACAGAGAAAGATACAGAGACAGAGATAAAGATTAACAGTTACACTCTCTACACTAATCTAAGTAAGAAAAAACACCCAAACAATTGTTCAACATAACATTTAATATTAAAAATAACAGACAGCTTTCATATAATATTGCAAATTCTCGCTCAACAAGATAAAAGCTCCTTACAATCTATATTATTACCCCCAGCAAACCTAATAGCATTCAGAAACAATCTCAAGCTCCTGGAAACCATAATACGTAGAAATACATAACAAACCCACCATCTTACAGCCTTACCGGTTCACAGCCATTGCTGAGAGAAAATGGCCTCCAGGTGCTGGCCAATAGATTCTCGCTATGTATCCACTTCTTGCGATTGTAGTACAGACGACTGTGTGGCTCGTTCTCTATGATTGGCGCGTAGAACACAAACAGCCTCCGATTGATCCGAATACTGCGCTGCAGCGTGGGCCACGCCCCTCTCGGGGATACCCGGTAGTATCTGTTGAGAAGTGGGCGGACCTGGACCTTGACGAGAAGACATGTGGATTTTTCTTTTGTTTTTTGCTTTTTTATGTTGTTTTTGTGTGTACTTTGTTTTCGTTGATGTTTTAAAACAATTCAAAGACTCGCACGAACAAACAAGTGCACCTTCTCCCCTCCCTCCCTCTCTCTCTCTCTCCCTCTGTCTGTCTGTCTATCTGTCTGTCTGTCTGTCTGTCTGTCTGCCTGTCTGTCTGTCTGTCTGTCTGTCTGTCTGTCTGTCTGTCTGTCTGTCTGTCTCTCTCTCTCTCTCTCTCTCTCTCTCTCTCTCTCTCTCTCTCTCTCTCTCTCTCTCTTAAACACTCACACTCTCTCTCACACACACATACACACACACACACACACACACACACACACACACACACACACACACACACACATACCCCTCACGCACACAACCACATGTCATGTAACAAACACATACAAATATACACACATACGCACACCAAACAAAAAAACAAAAAGCAACAGTATCTTTCCCTCCCCCAAAAACACACAAATAACCAACCTCCAACTGCCTGGAGAGACCTCTAAACACTTTGTTCTCATCCACGATCTCATGGTTGAAATTCACAGTGATGACGTCATTTCGATTTTCCCTCATGAACTCTCTAATCTGTTTGATCATGGCGCACACACTTCCGCCACACGAGAAGGCGTGGCATGTACCCAAAAGTCCACACGTCTCGTAGCAAGGGTCAACATCCAGGTGGCGAATACCTTCATTGGACGAGAGAAAGTAATAACGATAAAAATGATCGTAATAAAATATTAATATAAAGATGATGGTGAAGAGGATGATGATGATGTACATTATGACGTGAATGCCCGCACTTTTGTTGCTATAGCTTGTAGTCAATAGATTTTCCTTTATTTTTTTTTGTATCGTGTTCCTGAGGAAACCCTTTACAGGACGAAACGTTGAACCTGTTTTAAATGTGAAAAATCTACTAAGTCCCAACCACTTTTTTTCCCTGCTACCTGCAATGATTGTAATGATGATGATGATGATAATGATGATGATGATTGCTTTTACATCCAAAAAGGGAGAGAAGCGAGAGCAATGTGAAGGAGGGCGATGAGAAGAAGGAGGAAGAAGTAAAAGAGGATGGTGAGGATAAGTAGGAGAAAGAGGAAAAGGAGTCTAGAACAAGTAGTAGGACGAGAATATGGACGAAGAGGAGGAGAAGGCCGAAAAGTTCTATTTTTACATACCTCTACGGAGCTGCTCTGTGATGTTGAGGCCATGGTTTCGCATCCAGCAGTTGAGGAAACCGAAGCCGCCAGCAAAGCCAGACCCGGCGTTGTGCAAGCCAGGCAAGGTCACTTGGTCAAGGCGCAGTGGACACAGTCTGCAAATACAAAAGGGCAACTTTTTAACCAACAGTGGTCGACGTTTTCCTTTCAATTTGTATAAACTCTTGTGTTTCTTTCTATATTTGAAAACTATTAAAACCCAAGAACAGATGGGAAGAGACGTTCAGAAACACCTTACGCTTCCTTAGAATTACCCAGTTCTATATGCTCAGTACTTAGTTTTTGGAAATTAGACGTCAACGATTTTGGCTTTCTCACCATTTCAAGCTTTTCCGAATGCAATTCTTTGATTATCTTTATAACAACTCAGAACAATCTCACGATATAGATAGAGCAGATAGAATATGATTTTGGTTTCTGGCCTCACGGTCTTAATAACTCAAAACAGCCTGAAAAGTCAAACAGAGCTTTGTAATTCTGAGGTAGCAACTGGTCAAGAACAATATAACCATGCATCAGGTGATAACAACAAAAAGGAGGAAAAAGTTCGCTCAATTAAGAACGCCTCAAAACAACAGCCGCAAAAACGACAGTCAAATAGTCGGTGTACCTGACGTCACCATTACAGGACGTGATCTCACGTCTATGCCGCATCCTCTCCCTCATCCAGTCGGCCTCCCCACACAGGTACCACGAGCAGATGTTAAGGCGGTCAGTGTGGTGAGGACCGGTCACTTCACCCCAGGACCAGTGCCAGAGCTGGTGCCCCTTCAAGAAGATGACCGACTCATATGTCCATTCCACAGCGGCGTCCAGTTGGCATGGCAACCCTTTGTCTGCGAGAGTAGTGTCCTCCACTTGGAACGTTTCTTCGCTCAGGCTGTACTTGAAGACATCGCATCCTTCATTGCGAAATTTTGAAAAAAAGAAAAGAAAAGAAGAAGAATTATCCCCTAAACTATGAGCTAAAGAAAGGAAGAGCAACAGCCCACATATTGTTCTAAAGTAAAATCTCCAATATTGAACAGCCCACGCTACGCCACCCTTCGAACACAGACGTGACAGAATGTGGCTCCCCTTGGAGAGAAAGGTCTATGGCAGTCTCTCAGAGTTGAAGCGAACTGCCCAGTTTGTGCGCGACATCGGACTGGCTGTCTAGCTGCTGTCATCGAGAACGAGGAAAAAGAAGAAGAACGGCCCAGACCGACAGAAGGGGAGGGGGGAGGGGAGGGGACTCACAGTGTCAGGGAGCTCGTAGTAAAAAAACAACACAGAGACAGCCGGTAGAACAAGACGTGGTGAACCCTAAGGACTAGTCTGTCGACAATGGAAGAGATGCAGAGGAGACATTCCGATACATTAGAATTAGAACAATCTTTCAGCTCAGTACCTAGTTTTGAGAAAGTTGAAGTAAAAATTTTGGAGTTTCACAAAATGTCTGGGGTGTTGTTGTTTTGTTTTTGTTTGGGTTTGGGGTTTTTTTTTTTTGGGGGGGGCGGTTGGGTTTCGAATGAATTTCTTGGAATATTTTGATAACGACTACGATTAATTTTTCGATTTTGATAGAACAGATAGAACAATTGGTTATTGACCTCATTGTTTTAGTAAAATCAAAACGACCAAAAAAGGCAGATTGAACTTTGTAATTCTGACGAAGCGATTGGGTCAACCAGTGCACACATGAACGCTCCTATAAGGACGGGACCTCTGTGGAAGAGGATGAAAAAGGTAAGAAAGTATCGCTCTTGTCATTCAGGCACGGAAGATACCAGCAATAGCTAAGCACCAGGGCAATGGGGTGCTAAGGTAAGAGCGAAAAAAAAAGAAAATGTAAAAAGACGATGGATAAGAGAGGTTCTAGGCAAACTAATCTTGCCCATCGTCTTGCTTCTGGTCAGAAAAGCCTTAAAACACCAGATCCACAAAGCTCCGGAGATGGAATGGAGGCCGTGAAACCAGCCAAGGGATAGACCGGACAATAGAAGACGACAAATACACCCAACCTGTTCTACGAGATAAACAACGATATTATAACAAGGAAAAGTGGCGAGTTTATAAACGTAGAAGAACCACTAAAGATTACTACATTTAATGCACGAGGACTGAGAAGCATTATGCATTGTCTGATCCTGTTAGATTGACCTTAATCAAACAATGCAATGCCCTGATTGGTCCCTTGAGCAACAAACCACTAAACAACTCTGACGGCTCTCTGATTTGTAATTGTCACATTAAATTGACGATAAAAATAATTCGTTTTAGAGTTTTGATGAAATACAGTCCAAAGTGTTTTAACTTGCATGAGACAATCACTTCTACAGGTAGCCACGTCATAATTCCTCTTTTGCGTGTTATTTTACATTCTGTTATTTACCCTGCGTAAGACGTCCAACTGTTTTAACTGGCATAATCGTTGGTCATCTTGACAGTTTCGACTGTACCTTTTTTATAGTAGAGGGTTTTACGGCGCATGCAACTGCATAATAAGGTCATATGAGCGTCAAGGGGTTGGTGTCAACAGAGAGGTCTTTAGACTGCTCACTTCTCTAGCTTCAACAGCACAACGTCTGCTTGGACTATCAAGACACCCCAAAATAGCAGGTCACAAGAGAGTGACAAACATACAAAAGAAGTAGAGAAAAATGACAATAGTAAGGTTCAGGAAAGAAAAAGCAGCAGTTCTCTGTTATAGATCAGGCACAGTTATGAGCGTGACATGAGTCAGCCCATTTACAATTCTACTATGCTTGAACGAGAAATGTCCCCCCTTTGGGAATGGCCTAAAGACACTTCAGTCAGTGGCACTGCCCCGGGGGGAAACTATACCTTTGAAAGCTAGCAGCTCCCCTTCCCAGTTTACAGCTGCGTCAACGTCACACGGCAATCCCAAGCTGGACAGCTCTCCGGTGCCCAGTAGAGTGAAGGGACGTCCAGTCACGTTAAATCTGGGGAGTTATGATGACTTCATTGTAATTATTATTATCAGGGATTACGTGTTGAAAACTTGTAAAAACCTGTAGGTCTACATTTGCGTTTGTGAGGGAATGGTGGGTTTATCAGTTGTTGTTTTTTTTGTGGGGGAGGGGGAGGGGACAAATCTGAAGCATATAAATGATATGGAAACCATACCATCCTTGTTTTTGTTTGTTAAAGTAAAGTGCAGTGCAAATAATATCAAATTCTGGATAATGGGCTAAAAAACAGGGAGGTCCCGTTGCAGGTTGCGCACGTTAAACATCCCTTGGTGATTTTACAGTTGACAAGAGCAGGCTTAGGCCGCCACCCGGGGAAAATTCAAAATTAATTCCTACCAAACTGAAAATTAATGCTCTATGTGTCCTGCGCTCTCATATGACCTTATACAGTTGCAAGTGCTGTAAAATACTTATCAAAACAAAACAAAAGGCCGAGGTCTATCCCCCCTACCCCCTCCCCTTTCAAAGCCGTGGCAAAAGGCTATGGAAATGTATTCCACTTAGAATAAGGATGATATTGGATCTTTTTCAGGATTCGAAAATTCAACATCCACGAACCTTCTGGGAACCAGAAACATGGCAGTAAACCTTCAACTAAACAGGCTCCCAATATCTATTTTTAGTCTAAGAATAAGTGAATCTTGTTTTATTGTTTGGTCGGTTTTAGTGATTTTCATGGCGACTTGCCTTTGGTACGTGCATCCAGTCAGAAAGAAGACACTGTCATCTGAATATTTGAAGGCCGCTTGGACTCCCCCCCTAAGCCCAAGCCTGCTGATTGGTCTAAGCGAGCCTTCTGCGCCATGGCGGTGGTTGTAGTCGATGTATTCGTGCGCGTTGAAGAAAAAAGTCCCTTCTTCAGCCGGAAGTTTCACAGCTGCCTGAATTGTCGTGCATCTCGGTCTAGATCTAGATCTCGTTCGATCTCGTTGTCGTTGTCGTTGTCGTTGTTGTGAGTAGGTATGTGTTGTAAGGAGCAGCAGTAAGAATACGACACGGAGGAGATTTGTGGTAGGCATGAGGTTTTGGTTGTGAGTCTGTTGACATGTCTCTGTGGGGGAGAAAGGAAATGAGGAGTAACGTAACAAGACGTGGTGGACATCCGCACGTGCGTGTGTGTGTGTGTGTGTGTGTGTGTGTGTGTGTGTGTGTGTTTGTGTGTGTGTGTGTTCGTGTTTGTGTATGTGTGTGTGCATATGCTTGTGGGGGGTGAGGGTGGAGGCGGCAGCAGCATCCACCAGCAGCAATTGGTGTAATACAGAAAGGATGGTGTGGAGATAAGAGAGAGAGAGAGAGAGAGAGAGAGAGAGAGAGAGAGAGAGAGAGAGAGAGAGAGAGAGAGAGAGAGAGAAAGCTAGAGAGAGAGAGAGAAAGAGAGAGAGAGAGAGAGAGAGAGAGAGGGGGGGGCAGAGAAGGAAAGAGAAAGAGCGAGCGACATACATACAGACAGATATACAGACAGACGGACAGACAGACACACAAACAAGTAGACACACAAACATGCAAACAGAGTTGTTGGATTCAGGAACATTAATCATTAAGTATTGTCAGGTGAAGCTTGACGTATAATATTACGCTATCACCGTAGGCTATAAGCAACACACATGATCATCATGAACTATTGGCATTTTTCAAATCATTATTAAAAGTGAAACTGATCGTTTGCTGGAAAATCGGGAAGCGATTAGGAACAGTCTGAATTTATAGGTGATCAAGCTTTCATTTCAGGGAAAATTTCTAGTCCTTCTAAGGTAGATGTTATATATCCATATTAAATCAAATATGTGTAAAGGGGAGGGGGAGCGATTGTTCTTATTTTTTTTTAAATGAACGCATCTATTATTGAAGCGTTTTCCTGTTCATATGTACAGGTAGAATAAACATAAATTAAGCTGCACAAAGAGAACTGCTACACCATGATACATATGTACAAAAGAACGCATAGGAGCAGATCACTATAGCAAAAATGCACTAGAAGACGATGAATATTTCTTTTTATCTTGGGAGCATTATTGACAGAGAGGGAAGAGCAGGTGCTGAAATAAAGTCCCGCACTGGAAACGCACACGCTGCTTCCATATCTTTTGATAAGATTTGGGAGACAAGGAATATCTCACTAAGACCAAAGCTGAAGATTTTCAATTCAAATGTGAAGTTAATCATGTTGAATGGATTTGAGACATGGAACGCATCACAAACTTGCATGAAGAAGATCCAGGTTTTCTTGAACAATTGTCTAAAAGGCTACCGAGGATCAGATAAACAGACAGGGTCACCAAAGAGGAAGTGTTAAGGAAAACAAGACAGATCCCAGTCAGAGATGAGGTAAGAAGAAGGCGGTGGCGATGGATTGGGCATACTCCCAGGAAGTCAGGCAGCAACATAACAAAGAAGAAGACCACCTGGAACCTGGAGACAAATCACAGAAATTGATGTACAGAAAAGTGGGAAGACATGGAATAACGTCAAGAGACTAGCCCAGGATAGAGAAAGGTGGAACGTGTAGTTTGTCCGTGGCCTATACCCTGGTGCGGGATGAGAAAGGCAATGATATGATGATGTACGCAAACATCAACAAACAATAAATACACTTTCTTTGCTTCTTTTATAACGTTATTGCTCGTATTGTAAAATAATTGTATGTTTGCTGCAAAAGAAATGTCCTATGACACTGGGCTGAAAGTAATTTATTTGACGAATAGCGAACGTAATAGCGAATTTTAGAAAAGAAAACTGAAATGTGAATCTATTACTTACAGTATCTGTAAAGAAAGAGAGATGAGAGAGAGACACAGAGGGAGAGAGAGAGAGAAAGAGAGAGAGAGAGAGAGAGAGAGAGAGACAGACAGACAGACAGACAGACAGACAGACGGACAGACAGACAGACAGACATATAGAAAGACAGACAACAGAGGAAGAGACGGAGAGAGAGAGAAAGAGAGAAAAAAAAG